TCCATTTCGAAGGGAAATTTGGTTGGAAGGAATTCGTGATGTGGTCTCACCGGAAACCGAAGGAGGATTGCCGCGTAGGAAGACTGGTGAATTGTGCGAAGAGATCCTCGGTTCATTGTCCTGCAACCTCGATGTAATTTTGCTAAGCTTTCGTTTGTACTGTGACAGATATCATCAGGACAAGCTTCCATACTTCACGAAATAGTGCAAAAACATATTTTAAACCAGGAGAAAAGTTGGCCGGTTGCAACCCTAGCCGCTTTTTTTATAGGCCTAGCTTCGCGTTCTTAACGAAGCATTCTATTATTTGGTTGGATATTCCAAATATATTTTCTATGCTTGTAAATGAGTGAAGTGGGAGGCCTCATTAAGATCACGATGTTAAATTTTAAAAAATGCGACTAAGGTTGCAGCAAGCCACCTTTTCTCTTGGTTTGGTATATTTTTGCTCTATTTCGTAAAGTATCAAATCTTGCTTTGATGATGCCTGTCACAGTACAGACGAAAGCTTAACATAGTTTAAAGGTTATTTGACCATATTGGTAGGGAGACTTAGTGGAACACATCTAGTCTGGAGTCCATTGTATGCATGATAATTTCTAAAGTCGGACCGTGGACGTGATACATTCCCAAACGTTTCGCCAGCATCGTCAGTGAGTCTTGCCATTCTTAGCCTACACTACAACTAGTCAAAGAGACAAGTGAAGCCGATCATTTGACCAAACATGTGCTCAACAGTTGTGATATCTCTCCTTCTGCCCTGGGCTATTCACATTTCCTATATCCTCGAATCACCCCTTCCCTGTTACAATTTTTACCGTGCTTATTCAGATGTAGTGTGGTGTGCTCCTTTAAGTGGTATTCATGAAAAGCCTCCACACTTCACGCTGGCGCTCTCACCCCCCCTTCACCTTTTTTCTGGGAATGTTGATCAGAGTTTGCCATATTTTTATGCAGTCCTCCTTTCCTAGCTCTTATCACAGTCTCCCTCTTGCCCAGTAGAATTCATCTGCTATCTCCCTGATTCAAGTATTTCACTCGAACCCTGTCACTCCATCTGTGCTACTCGAGGCATTATTTTTCACACTGGGAGAATAGATTGAGGCTAAAGCCTCTGAGTAAGTCTCATGGTCCACGTCTATGATGAAACAGGCCTACTGTCAGCCAACTAGCTCTAGTCTCCACCGCGTCAATCCTGTTTCTATCCGTAATACCATGTATATGACTTCCTATGCCATAGTCTATTGTGTGCAAACCCACAAATGTTGTGGTACTGATTGCTTTGATAAGGTTCAAAGTTGAACCGCAACCTTTGTGAGTTGGCACACAAAAGACATTGCATTTTAGTAACATGGACCCACGAATATCTTCACAAAACACTTTCGAATAAATACAATAAATAGCAGGTATATGCGTTTCCTTAAGCTGAATTGCGGAAAGTAAGTTCAATTGGCATCAACTCAATCGAAACCCTATTATCTAATCCGCCGAACTTAAGACGGTAAAGGATAAAGAAAATTCGAAAGTGAGCAGACATTGCAAAGAGCCCGATTGAGAATACTTTTGGGTCAGAGGTCCAAACTTACCTATACTCAATCTGAGCTGTGGTAAGATTGACGAGACCGAGCTCTACGGGATCCTTCTCATTTGCGTATAGATAAAGAAAGGGCCGACGAACCACAGCCCATCGTCGGACCCAGGAGCCCGTTCGTTCATCGAAGAACATCAGATAACCCTTACGACTCACAACAGGACTGACACGAACCTATTGAGTGGGATAGTTTTGAAAAAGATAAAGGTAAGGATGAAGTTCATGGTAATAGTGGCGGTTAAAATACAAGATTTAATTGATATGCTTAATAGTATGCAAAATGGATCGAAATAGCTAGTTTATAGGTGTAAACAAAGATGGGAGTTATGACCTGTTGCAGATAAATCGATTCATATTGGTATAGGTCTATCTAAATTAAATAGGCAACTGATAGTAGCATACTGAGGGAGATTATAATTTTAGGTTGCTATCATAAGTTCGCCTTTAGTCAATAATGTTTATGTATATTCTGTTGAGTAATGCAAAATATGGACTTTTGAAAAATTATACTTTTTAATCCAGTTAAAAATACTGCTTACACAGTCTATCGTGCATTACACAACAGAAGTGGCATGGGGACTGTAGAAAACGTGAATATGTTTAAATCGAATGGGGATAATGAAAACTCGACTAATTTCATTACATTCTTAATTTTTCATTGAGTTTCAACATAGACATCGTGATTATGGGACATACAAC